CCCCAAAACCCCAAAACCCCAAAACCCCAAAACCCCGTGCTATCAGGATAATTTTGTTAACTTAAATAGGTCATTTAATAGAAAATTTTAATTCACTGTAAATTCTATGATTTTACTCTCTGTTTATATATTTATTTTAATTTCAAAGCAGTTCTGCAATTAGTCAGTTTGGAATCTTACTTTAACTTCTTGTGTATTTAAATTCCACTGCTTCAGATAATCTTCTCTTTGATATTAGCAAATGATCTTGGTGGGAAGTTTTTCTCATTACTGTTCTTTTATTGGAACTTTAGTGGCTACTTTGGTTGCTTGAGCTTTCATCTATTTTATTTCTCAGCTAAATATTACAGCTATCATTCTCCCTATTGGAATCCATAAACTTTAATTGTCCCTAGTAAAAGCAAGCTTATTAACTCAATCTGTTTATCTAAAACTCATCTTAATATTATTCTGATTCATTTTCATATAAAACCTGGTAATTTCCTCCAAAATCTGAATTATGAAGTCTCTGATCATGGTACAGAAAAGTCTTTACCTAGGATGACTATGGTGATTTTTTAAGTTCATCTTTGTTAGTTGTTGGCGTAGTTTCCCCAAGATACTTTGAGTATTATTAAGAGTTATTCTATGTACTATTGCCATCTAGAGCTAGCTCTTTCTAGAGAATTTTTTGATAATCCTATGCTTGCAAGACAAGGCTAGTCATTATATCATCAATTTTATACAATTATTCCTGAATATTGTCCTCTTTAAATCTTAGATTGTCAATTTGTTCCAATATTTGAGTTTACTCATTTTCAAAAAGTTAGAACTTAATCATGACTTTGCCACTTATAGCTTTTTCTTGTTTCTATCTTTTTTATACTTTATCATCCAGATCGTTATAGTTCTCTTCACTTTAGAAATTGATTTCCTTCTCAAATATCTTTCCTACTTTGAATTAATTAATCATAAATGTGTGTCTTTTGCCTATCATCTAGCATTCACTATTCCTTCCAAACATTCCTAATTCAATTGAAAATTTACGCTTTAATACATTAGCTTCGGCTCTATCAAAATACAGCACAAAAGCTTCAAAAACTGAAAATTCTTCAGATTTATCTAATTTATTTTTAGTGAATAAGTATTTAGTCTTTCTGATCTATTCTTGGTTCTCAAACTTAATGCTTTATGTTGAATAATATTTGCAGCCTAAATTTGTTAATTCAAACTTTTCTTCTTAGGATTAATCTTTACTGTTAGTATCCAGTCGATTTTTATAGAACTAATTATAATCAACAGCATTATTATTGTCCTCATTGTAATGATGATTTTCTGTGAATGTCTAAAATAGATTTCTGACTAATCCTTTAGAATTGACCTTTTTAGCAATTCCTTTGAAAAGTTCCTTTGTAGAGCCTCGACTGGTTCTATTATTTACTGTATTCTCTCTAGTAGCAGCTTTTTTCTTTTTGCATTTATCACCTTTTTTGTTGCCTTTTCTTTCTGTGTTCATGCTTTCAAGGAGTTTTGAATTACTTTCATCCTACAATACTAGATGGATTTCTTCTGGTATACTATCAAGTGATTGTTAAATAATCACTCTTGCCTTATCTTTATTATTTAGTGACTAGTCTATTACTATATTTTAAATCTCAATGATTAGCTTTTGATATTTTGTTACTTCAATTTCCTACTTCACTTTCATAAAATTGCTTCCAACCATTATATATGGTAACTATTCTGAAGTTATATCTTCATGCCTTTTTTCTAAATTCATTCTCTTTTCCTGGACTCTTACCAGCTGATTCAAAAGATATTGTTTTTACTATTGTAGTACAGATAATTTTGGCTTCGCAAGAATCTCATCTGTATTGAGTATTTGCATGTCATCTCTAGAATAATCTTTGAGAAATAATTACTTATTCCTCTTCATAAGTTGCTTTTATTACTCTTTGATGTAGAGATTTATTTAGTCTTTTGAGTTTTTTATTTTTCTTATAGGACTAGTTGCAAGCATTGAACCATTAACATCAGTCATAATAAAGCTTCTGCTGCTAAAAGGGGAAAGCTCATTATTTGAATGAGTCTTAAGATGCTGCTGCAATATTATGGAATTTTTGGAGGAAATATCAAGGACGCTTCCAGGTCTCAAATTCTCATTTTGAGATACTTGCTAATTTGAGTATTCTGAAACCACAGTTTAAGAGTAATGAGACAATGCTCTCTATTGTCGTGATTTTCATTATTTTGTGACATCTCTAAGGTCATTAGAACTTTCTTTTTAGCCTCCTGGTCGACAAGTAGTATAGCATTAGCCCATTACCCTAAATTATCTTTATTCTAATTAATATATATTAACATGATTATTTTATATATTTTTAAATTCATTTTAAGGAGGAATTTTTAATGGACGGGGTTTTGGGGTTTTGGGGAGATCGGAAGAGCGTCGTG